GTAAACTTAATCTGTAAAGTTGTACGTTCATACATACATTCTGCTGTCTCATTCCAAATCTTTATTTACTAAATTCACAAAAAAGTGCACAATATCTTCTTACTCCTTTATTTAAAAAAAAAATACGAACATTTGTCTCACTAACAAGTTTAATCTTGTACAGTTGCTTGTTTTAAAACATAATCTTATTTACGATCTTGTATTAAAAATATATTAATTCAATATCAAGGGTAAAATGGCATATCCTAATCTGTATATTTGCACCTTTACAATTTTAGGGGTGTAATCTAAATGTCGTTCCATTTCAAACAAAAATTGAGTGCATACACTTATTTTTTTCCTAGAAGTGTGTTGTATAATTATCTACAGCATTGTAGGTCATGTACAAGTATTTTAATATAAGAAGGTATTACAGGGTCTCATAGAATCTTATTACATTTTCTATATCCATAATATCTACACTTTATTACTTCAGTTGACGTAATGAAAATTGCGAAATTAACAACAATTTTCAAACGGGGAGATAATAAACTTGTCAATAACTATCGTCCCATGTCCTCGCTGACATAACTATTAGAATTTGATCACATCTTCTATATCCATAATATGTACACTTTATTACTTGACGTAATGAAAAATGGGAAATTGACACCAATTTTCAAACGGAGAGATAACAAACTTGTCAATAACTATCGTCCCATGTCTTCGCTAACAACACTATTAAAAGTTCTTGAAAAACGCGTCTTTACAAGAACAACAACAACCGCTTTAATTATATAACATTTTCACATTTGGGTACTGCGAAAATCATAGTACTTTGCATGTAATTATGTGCTCGAGAGAATTTTAGTAATATTTAAAAAAATGTTAATATTTTAGAAAAACCTCGATTTCCTGAAAATCAAATATTAGAAACTGTTAATGTACTACTACGAAAAGCAAGTAAAAGATAAAACTGTACATCATACCTTAAGATAACCATATATAAATTATGGAATACTGGCATATAGGGCTATGCAATAAATGCAAGATAAAACTTGATATCTTTGCTACAAAAAAAATCATGCAAAGTACAGTTCTCATACGGATATTTTTTTGTTGTAATAACACTCTCAAGTTGAAGGATATCTATCATTATCAACTAGGCCAATTCATGTATAAACTAGGTAAAATGAACTGTCGGCTAGCGCCAGACGTGTTGCCCTTTTGTGTGCGGTAGTGTCTATTTATACCTTTAACGAGATATTGTCAAGAGTTCATGTTTGTCTATGAAAATCATTGTTCATACAAATGTACTCGTGAATTATGTACATGCAGAAAAAAGGTTTTTTAAACATTTGCCGAACGATCCAATATTCGTTCCTAACCTCATTCCTGTCTCTCACTTTATAACCCCACCCCCTCTTTCTCTTATTTACCGAGAGTTATAGCTTTCTTTCTATAATTATAATGTTATTAATATTTTGACCAAACTCTCTTCTGATACTACTTAACTAAGTTTTCAGGGCTTGCGTCATACATGCATTGCTTCTTTAGCATGCTCCCTTCGTCACATTTTATTGATTTTCAGTTCGTCAATGTTTCTATATTGTCTTTTTACAATCTTATTAAATTATTTTATGTCATTACTGAATTGATATGTATTTTGTATATGTGTAGTTTATGTTCACGATGAAACGATTAAATGGGTACCCGGTAGGATGCGACCGTCATTGTTGGTCAAACAGTTTTTGAGCCTCCAAGTAACGCCTGGCTGGAATGCTCCCCAGGGAGTGGAGATTGTGCACACCGTGTGTGCGGGCAAGCACTGAATCCAATGACCGGGGTAATAGTATATCTGTAAAGCGCTTAGAGACATTTGTATTAAGCGCTTTATAAGCGGAATATTATTATTATTATTAAACGGAAATAAATAAATCAGACTCAAAATAATAATAATCCGCAATATGCACACAATAACAAAACAAAAGTGCACAAGTGCGCTATGAAAGACAGAATGTGGTTCTCTTTGATATACTTTCTTTAAAACCAAGAAGTCAATAAAGGAGGAATGGAAGACAGATTAAATTAATAAACGTGAGAAAGGGAAAGAGGAAAGGAAATATAGAGAATGAAAGAAAGAGGCATAGAAAACGGAGTGGGTATTAATTATAGAAAAGGGAGAGCCAGAGGGAGATGAAAGCAGACATTTAAAAAAAAAGGAGAAAGGGACAGTGGGTGTTGTGCGTGTGACTGAGGGTTCGTGCGCGCGTGTGTGACATAGAAAGAGAGAGGGGGAGAGAGAGAGAGAGAGAGAGAGAAAGAGAGAAAAAAAAAGGAAAAAACCACACATCGGTCACATTATTTCGGGTGAAAACTAAACCACTGGTGATATTTAATTGAAAACAGTTATAATGGTCTTACAGTATGACAGCCTTCTTGGCCGTGCTATTAATGTTGTCCTTCTTCCAGGCTTTCGTGGCGTTTACCCAAAATGGCTGCCAGTCACGTTCCTCACAAAAGTTCGTTGGACTGTCCTTTTCATTGAAGGGGGCTTCACCGCACACATATCCATCTGGGCATTTTACAATTTCTTTTTGAGAGACCACAAAACCAATATGCGATCAAATAGCAATCATATACACACTAAAATTGTCCTTTTGATAATATCGTAGTGGTAAGACACAAACTCATTAATTCACTCACAAAGGCCTTCTGCTCTATAGAGAAAATGACCTTAGATTGAGCTATAAAAATACTTTGAATATTTTTGCACATATCAAATAAATAAATAATAATATTAAAAACAATATAGTTCTTTTGTACATCGAAATTTCTCTCTCCGGGCTTACAAAGTCTAAAATCGACTCTTACTATTGCTTCTCATATATTCCATGCGAGAGTTACACTGCACTCATTTACATTAATCTCTTATGAATTAGAAACTTTAAGTTCCCCCTCTTTTCATTTCTATATATTTCAAACGTTTTAGTTTAACTCTATTTGGCTCATTCAAACAGATAGTTCCGTTTTTATAATTTGTTAGCCGCTTAGAAAACCCCATAGGCCTTTTGCAACAAAGGAAACACTTTTCCATAGGTTTGACGGATAATCACATAAGGGCAGCGATTAAGGATAAACGTTTGCGTTTTACGATTGCATTATGAAATACACTTGATTACAAAATTGATAGGTCAATGAAAAATACAATGTATAAGTCAATTGAAAAATACAATGTACCAAAACCCCTAAAAATATCAATAATAATGACAAAAATAGTAATAATACAAATGATAATAATAATAATAACAATTTTTTCAATCGAGAGAAGCCCATCAGCATCAGCTGTTTCCCCTGAGACCCCTGCGATGATTATTACCTCAGCAATTGGCAGGTACCCTGGTTGGAGAGTGGTTAATGTGGATAAGTGTCTTGTAAAAAGACACAACACCTCTACGAAATGAATTAACCACTGCACCACAACACAATTACGGAGTCACAATAATGCAATTCCAAAATTCAATGCACTTGATTCATCAATGAGGGCGGTTTGATGAAAGAGGGGCAGGGGGGTTCAACTCCGCTTCTGCATCCGTCTAGCCATGGGGAAATTTTGGAGGGTCAAAAGTGCACACTGCTTCCACTTATCGTGTATTAGCCTATGAAGACGACAAATTTTTAGTGCACCAGCGAAATGGGGATTTTGGACTGCGCGCAGCGCGCAAAATATTTAAATTAAAATTTGGAATATTCATGAGCTCTTTTCCACTTATTAGCATATTATCGCAATAAAAAAAAGACAATGCGCATGCGTTACTATATCGACAGAATCCTTAATTGGGCCGATAAATGTAGAACAAAGGTCAGAGTCGGGGAGGTGGGGGGGGGGGGGTAATAACTTTCAAATGGTTGTGACTTAAGGCCACAAACTTCACTGTCACCAGAATGGAAAGTACATTGACAAAAATTAAGTTCAGTTAAAAAGCAAAAATGATGACCCCATTTCACCGTGGTACCTCAATTCATTTTTTACCTCTTTTTTGTGTTTTATTTTGTTCGTTTATTTACTTAAATGATATTTTCATATTTCTAGTGCCCAAATAATGAATCATTCTCGCCTCGCCTTCAATGATCTTTCATATTGTGCCCCATCCCCAATTTTGCCTCGTTCTTTTCATTCTTGCATTCGTCGCCACTGATTTGTTTAATAATTTGCCACCCCGCCCCCCCCCCTACAGTTATATTTTCAATACAGGACCTCTTCCAATATTGACATTTCACTAGGCTCTATTACCCTCCCTCCTCCATCCCCACCACCATTACCTATGCTGTCATTTTGGCATTGACTTATTCTTTATTTAACCCCCCCACCCCCATCTCTATTGTAAACCATTTTTTATATTGCATTTATACTTAAGTCTTGCCCACTCTCTTGTTACATTTCCGCTTTTTCTCTCATTAGGAAAGATGATTATAATCACCAGCATCATCACATAACTTCCAAAAAATAAGAAAATAAAAAGAAAAGAATTAAGCAGTATTAACTAATTTTATTAACATTCATGAACATAATTTTTTCTATAATGATCTTTTAAAATACAACCTGAACTAAAGAAAGGTAACAAATGAACGGGGGAGGGGTGGCTGTCGTCTCTTGTACTTAAAATTGTTCAGATATATAATTCTACTATAGATTTAGAAAATTAGATATATTAAAATAAAATCCATACGATTTATTCAATTATCAACATGTAAAGCATGGGTATATATTGTCAAACCTGCTTTAGTGACCACCTGTCTACAAAGACCACATTTGTTTTGTTTCCCTTGAAAATGGTTTCTCATTGAAACATGTACTAAACGAGCCTGTCTACATAGACCACTTTTTGTGTTTCCCTTGGGCGGTTGGTACGAGTACATTTTCTTTTACATTGGACATTTTTGTTCATTGTCATCATTATTACTATCATTATTTTTATCCTCTAATTATCACTAATACTATTAGAGTACTACTATTGTACTATTCCTACATCATTTTATTTCCCCCACCTTGAATTTAATATCCAGTTCAGCATCCCTAATAAATTGGTCAGAATTTGAATTCAGATTAAATATCAAAAAGCTACCTGTATCTTACATGTACACACATTAAAACAACAAATACTTTTATTCAAAGGGCTATACAGCTTATCACGAAGATGAACTAAGTGAAGGGGTGTGAGGAAGACAGATGATATTTTTTAAATGGGATAAGGGCATTAGATGCCTCAGGAGTAGTCCCTTGCAGTTCGACCTGGCAGGACTGTCGGCATACATTTGCTGGAAGCCAGTTCCATTATTAAACTTTGGGACGGAGAGTTGGGCAAATACAAACGGATCTATGTCGCTTCTGGCTTGGTTCTCCCATGTTTGTGATATGTGAAGGAAAATAGGGCTTTCAAGCGAAAGGCAGAGAGACCATTGACTACCTTGTGCACAATTCCCAGTCTACATGCAGAGTGCCTTGTAGATAAGGTATGCCACTAAAATGTGCTGATCATCTCAGTCACACTGCTGGTTTTCTTGTATTTTCCATTGTGATGTAGCGTGCTGATGTAGAGCTCTCAAGAGTTCTCAAGATGAGAGTGGATAGAAAGAAGCCTGGGTATCAAACCTTCTGCATGGGACAACCTGCATAATACAAACAAAAAGAGAGAAAGCAAATGAGATTAAAACTAGCTGCACTACATTAGATTTTTTTTGTTTAATAGTAACTTCCTACTTTTAGGTCTTACATTTTAGTTTTATTACAAAATGATAGACTTATGTCTATCTGATAGGGCCTTTTTTAAAGAGTAGAGTAAAGGTTTATATTCATTTCCAATTATTGAACAAGGAACTTTAAAATTGTTTTTCTTATAATATTATTATTATTTGTGAAACATTTTCTACATACAACAGGCAGTACATGTAGAGGTAGAAGTCTATTGAATAATTTTAAGTTGTTTATAAACATAGGAGTATCTACTGTTGTCTGATTTTGTGAGAAATTTTTTGATAGATATGTAATATTGAAGAAGAAAAAAAAAACTTACGTATTGTAATATCATGCTGAGGGAATAAAGTGATATGTTTATTAAGCAACACCGTAGTTTGTCACCTAAATAAAGCTAGAGAATAAATGAGAATTATAAGATATAATGCAACATTATAATTAAGATGGTAATTGGTGATTAGTCCAAGATGAGTGCGATGTTGGCATGGGCTTAGCCTTAGATTATACAGACTGAATATTTTCGAACTTTATACAAACATACCTTGCCAGAGTTCAACTTAGGTGTCCTGTTCCTGAGATCTTCACCATAACATGATGATCAGGTACTGGTAGTCTCTGTTGCACATCTGTGGTCATTATCTGCTTTTTGGTTGCATAGGATCTACAATTAAAAGAAAACAGAAACTTAGTAAGGTTCGTGCAAGTAATAGTATCAAATGCTTGCATTAGTTATCAGTTTATAACTTGGTTCATGTCCTTTAGACTAGAGTTAGAAATACCCATGCAATACCAAATAAAAAGGGGGTAGCAAATAGTCCTGAAACTTTACTGTAAACAAGGTAAATATACGTAAATAATATAAACCTATTTTCTCTCTAAACATGTCATTTTCCTCTAAATATTTCAAACAAGGCACAGTGCCATAACTTAGAAGTTAGAGCACAATGAAGAAAAAAGAGGTGTGGAGGTGGGAGTGGGGGGGTGGGGTGGGGGTAAAATTAGGAAGCTAGATAGGGACACCCTTTTTGTTTTGTTTTGTTGTTGTTGATATAGTCTATCTAGCCTACATCCAAACTAAGCTGGACCTGGATACATAATGCCACACTAGCAACAGCATAACTAGATCTAGACTAGACCCTAGCCTAGGCTAGTATTCATAGCATAGAGTCTAGCCCGAATTTTCTGTCTCTTTCGTTCGTTAGCCTCTGATTTGGGTAGGGTTGGCTAAAGAGAGGAGCCGACTCTACCCAAATCAGAGGCTAACGAACGAAAGAGACAGAAAATTCAGGCTAGACTCTATGCTATGAATACTAGCCTAGGCTTTACAGTTACACCAAAGTGTAGCCTGCCTTATAGCCGCGCTAGCTCGGGAAACGCAGTCGCTTATTGGTGGAGTGTTACAGCCGGCTAGCACCGGTGAATTGTAAATCATAAACCGCTCCACGAAATATCATCGGCTTGGACTAGCAATGAGCCATTTGCGCAGTCTACAACAGGTCTACATCTACTACCGATTACTATCGGTAATCAAGCTATGAACTAAACTTAAAATTACGAGATGTGCTGTGATGAAATAACCTACGGTAAACTCCTGATTATTTCTAAAAATATTACCGTCGACAATTTCAATTAGAGTTCATTCAATCAGTAATATTCTTTGGTCAGAACAAAGAAAAAAGGATGGGGTAGGGGGTTAACCGGGTAATACGTTGTGACAATGCGGAGAGCCCCTCACTGCAATGACGAACACATCACAATCATTTCAGATATCTTCACACAAAATTTATCTTTACTTACTTTTTTGGTATTCGTATGGTATCACTTTGATGTCGATATTCGCCTGAAGATTTTCTGCTCAACTGAGATGTATTTGACAAACTTCTATTATAATAGAAATTCACTTACAAGAAAAATGTTTCATTGTTCGTAATTAAAAAACTTCAAAGTCGCAGTTCATACAACCGCCATTTTTCATCATTTTCTTGCTCAAATCGTAGGGAATTCTGGGAATGCAAAAAAGTTTTATGCATGACCTAATACATAAAACATTTTGTCGATGGCCAATCAACAAACAGTAGTTGGCGTATTTTTTACGTCATTGCTCATGAATATTCATTGACCCTCCAAAACCGTCGTTCAAATCGGACAAAACCCCCATAATGCATCCAAAGCAAAACCTATGAAATGTCAAAGGTCACGATTTTAGTTGGCCCTCTAGTCCTCCTACGGAGGACATACTGTGTATGATCGAATCTCTTTGAAGAGGGGGGAGGGGGGTGTTCCACTTACCGCAATTTTCTTCATCATCGCGTTGAGGGCAGTCATACCATCCGTCGCATCGAAGTCTATCGAGTAGGCATATGTCGGTATCGCGACACCGGTAAGGACACTCTACGTCTACGATAAGAAAAACGAGCAAATGTATTGATGATGTGGATGATGATGACCATGATGATAGTGAATTGTATACACTCATGTCATACGGCATTTACATTCTGGTATTTTTTCATTTGTTTTTATTATTATTATTATTATTATTATTTTTTTTTTTTTTTTTTTTTGGGGGGGGGGGGGGGTGGGGGCGGATCAATATATAAGGAACGATTGTCCGTCTGACGTTCGGATACCATTATTCACAACTGTACCTGCAACGATAGGTTATAAATAACTGCAAATGCTATGCGCGTATTGTATGTAGCAAAGACTGAGTGTAGACGCAGACACTATCAAACGTGACCCAATGGTAGTATCTGCCAGGAGTCGGGTAGATTTTGATCTTCATAGTTGGTTTACCAGGGGCAGTCAACAAAGCCAAACCAAACAAAAAGAACACAATCGTAACTTTTTTCGAAATATCGACTCAAGGGCGATTCAAATTTTTTATTGTACATCCCATAATTCAATGACGCACAAGACTTTTAAAAATGCTAAACACTTTTGAAATGGCTGCCGAATAAAAAACATATAATTATTGGGGAAAAGTTTTATATGCATGAAAAGCTCCGAAAATAATTCATGCTTAAGCAAGCACCGCCCACTTAAGGCCCGGTCACACAGAGGGGACGCATGGGGAACGCACGGCCAGCGTGTTGGAAATTTGCGCAGGAATTAACCTTCCAATTTGTGAGAGGTACTTATTCTTCAGGTAAATGGGTAACCTGAAGAATAAGTAGCCAACATCTGTGACATTCCTTTATTCAACAAACCGTATTTGAATAATCAATTTACATAATCCCCATCTGGTAATTAAGTAAATCAATAAATCTAGCAATAACTGAAATGTGGGGTTAAGTTTTTATTCGTAGTCATATACAAAAAAAAAAAAACAGTTTGTAACATGGAAATTACAACATATACCATCACCCCCATCCTGACTTCCATGAACACACAACTGAGTCTACCAGGGAAAGTTACAATGCTACAATAAAAAATGCAATTCCTGTTCCCTCATGCATAAAAAATTAGTTTAATAAACCATGAGGTTTACTCAGCAAATCATAAATGTATCATATTACCCTCAATTTTGTAAACTCCAAAGGATTTACCTCTCACAAATTGGAAGGCTAATTATTTTCAAACTTGTTGGTGTCATATTGAAGTTTAAGAGCTTTCCATCCATATAATTTTTTTTCCCTAGAATCATATATTTTTTATTCGGCAGCCATTTCAAAAGTGTATAGTTTTTTTTTTGGACGCACTGTAGAAAGATTTTTTTTTTCGAAAGTAGTCGCGTTCGTGTCAAAGCAATATTTGTGATGACTTAGAATGTTTTGCTTCCTTCCGATACACCGCCTGGGTGCCACCCCCCCCCCCCGACACACACACACACGCACACACACACATACACAACCGACCTCCGGGTAACATGACCAAGAAAAGAGAATGAGAACACACCTGGAGTCAGACAGCCGCTTTCATCAGAGAAGTCGTGACAGTCGACAACCTTATCACACCTAGCGATCACGTCAATGAACTGCATTCCAGAACGGCACATGAAGTCGAGTGTGTTGGTGAGACAAGCTTGAACGCGTGAGTCATTAGTGCGACCAGTATCTTTATGACGTTAAAAATATTAATAATTGCATTTATTATTTAAAAAAACAAGAACATGATCATCAGCACAAAAAAATAACAACAGCAACAGGCGTGTTAGTACATATTAGACCTGATTTACAGAGATTAAATCTAAATTTTTGTTTATAGTTATTTTAATGTGTCTAGAATCAACAAGAGTAAATTGTAAATATTGGTATTTTTTCAAAAAGTCTTGTCAAAGGGGAAACTTTCCGCCCCATCCCCCTTCTCCGGGGTCGGAGGAACCACATTCGTATTCCCCAAATCTCCGGTAAAGGGCTACTTTTCACGCAACGAAGTTCGGCCCGTAATACACAAAAATCCGGCCCGTATTGACTTCACACACCAGAGATAGGGGGAGGGGTTGCTTTCAGAGGGAGGGAACATGCATACACGTACCCTAAATAACACTGAGTGGTGGGGGGGGGCGTTGTTAAATTATGCGGTTCCTGGAAAAAAGGGCACCTACAAAGGGAAATCTTAAAGCGAAAATAAACCATTTGTTAAAGACATTGGTATATACCCCTACATTGTGATTATTATTATTCACTTTATACACCATATAAGAAATTGCTTAAGAATCATACTTTGCATCTGGGTGTGATGGTCTGAAAAATTATTTGCGAAGGAGCGAAGTGAGCGAGGAAACAAATTAAGATTTGTGAGGTCGCAATGTGAAAATTACATCTTAAAAAGAGGAAAAAACCCAATCCTGATGGGATAATAAGCACATTCTCATAACGGTAGACTGAAAAGAAGTAACATATTATTAAGTATATCATCTATAAATGCGTACGAGCGAGCTTTGGGGGAAATTGCTCCTTATAGTCGCGTAAAATTAGGGGCGCGTTTAATGATGAGATGAAAAAAGGAACACTTACAGAAAAGAAAAAGAAAATGTGTCAAAGTACAAAGAGTAATTATCAGAAGTGAAAATGGGGCACTTCTTACACCTTCAAAAAGATGCACTCACCAGAGATGAAAAGAGACAGTCATGAGAATAGGAAATGGGCATTTGTCGACAGAAAAGGGACCCCCATCATATTTTGAAAGGGGCATTTATAAGAGGAAAAAAGGGAAATTATCAGAGGTGAAAAGAGGCAATTATCGCATCCGAAATTGGGCAACGACCACATATGAAAAGGGGCACTTGTGGGATTGAAAAAGGGGCACTTATGATAAAGGAAAATGTGCATTTGTTGAAAGTAAATGGGCACTGATCAGATTTTAAAGGGGCATTGTGAGAAGGGGGAAGGGACTCTTTTATTAATGGGGGCACTTTTCACTGGTCCACTCTGCCTCCCCCCCCCCACAGGAGGGCCGCCTCTGCGTATATCCATCAATAATGCTTTGATTGTTAACACCTATAATTTGTTTTAAACGATAGCTAAATAGAAAATACCATTTACACGAAGCGTCCTGACTTCAAAGGCAAAACCCGCATGTAGGAGAAACCCATCACTGCAGAAGCGAACCGTCACCACACCCTCTGGCAGTAGAAGTGACGTCAAATTACCACTGACCAATGGGAAGGTTGTGACGTTAGTGCCGTGTGCAGTTTCGCTGCTGTGTGTCAGGGTAAGAGGATCCCAAAAATGTTCTACCTGGAGGATGTTGACCTTAATGTGACCCTGCATAGCAAGTTTCAGAAGAAAAAAATACAATTAGGCCTACCACTCCTTTGAAATATATTCATTGAAAAAAAATCTAGGAAACTAACCAAAATTTTAAAAGGATTCTTTTACCCTCTTCCATGTATCATGAAATTTTAAAACAAATTAGAACTTTTAAATCACTTAACGGTAAAAAGAAAAAATGATGGTATGGTTGATTGAATAGTTAAAAAAAAACCGGGTGGTTAAAAGGGTTAGTTCACTCT